TACTCAAGGGAGTTCATGATGAACATCATCTAACCACATGAGCACTCTGAGCTCGGGACTCTGCTATCTACTCCTCATGCTCTTCCATTTTTCATGAAATAATTCAAATCCACTGTACCAAAAGGGGAGCAAGAGAGAAAGAATGAGTGCACAGAAAGTCCAGAGTGCCAGCTTCTGCTCCAGTTAAATCTTAATTCAAAATACTCACTCCTTTTAGTACTCTGTTCCAGGATAAGTAGCCCCCAAATCATTTGAGAGCCATTATTTTCCTTTCATTACTTGTCCCAAACCAGATAAAACATTTTGTGTGCAGCTCAGACCAGTTAAGGATTTGATAACCTGCATGTCACCAATTGTAAATCAAAGTCATTACAAATCAAAAAAACCTGTCAACTGTCTCTATTAAAGATGAAGAATCGAAAGAAATGAAGTAATAAGTGGGCACATAATGGTTAAGACAAGTTAATAAAAGCTTCCACAGCCAAAAAGCAGCTGTCAGATTTTGAGCTTTATTGCAGAAATAAACAGTGTGTTTACTGCCTTTACAGATTGATAGATCTTAATTTTACCTTGGAGCAATTTTCTAGAGGTTTAAGTTTTCCTTTTGAAAGAAAAAACTTTTTTACTCTTGCTCTAGTTATAGCATGCCTGGAGAAAAGTGTAAACCAGTAATAGTTTTCAGTAAGGCATAAAAACTGCCTGGTAGCCTGGCCACAATTCACCTCTTCACAGGTATTTTAATATCTGCCACCTTACTTGCTTTAAGGTACTCAGCATAACAAATTATCAAAAGTTCCAGGATTTCCATTCTGCCATTATCCGCAAAGTCAAAATGTATGAATAAATATCCAAAGCTTCATCCAAAGGGGGAAGTACCACACTTCCTAACTACTGCATCAACTTTTTCAAGGATTAGAAATCTAGTGAAGAAAATGTGAGCAGTTGTCTGTCATCTTGCAAAATACTGAAAAATACATAATTTGCAATTAATGCCCATTTGAGCAAGAATATGTATTTCAGAAAAATACCTGAGCTGCTTTAGGAATAATTTCAGTCTAGCAGAACCTACCTTTCAACCTGGTGAGTTGTTCCAATGGCTATTAACCACCAAGCTCGTAGGTAGAAATTGATGTCTTATTTCCACTGTGGTTTTTCTCTAATACAGTTTTCAGATTTTCAGTTTAATTGTATTACCATCTGCTGGACAAATAGCTTTTTTCTTCTAAAACTTTTTTTTTGCTTATGTCAATATTCATAAACTGATGAAATTAAAGGGTTCTGATATTTTCTTTGCCAAAGAAAAGAGATTTGGTCATGTGTATCACCCCTTTGTCTCTCTCTTCACGCCTGTTTTCCAGTCTTAAAATTCTCATCTTGCTTTTAAATCTTCTGTGATTTCTGCTGTGCTATAAAAACATGAACAGGGCACAGTAATTGCTGTACCAAATAAAGATAGTGTCTCTCCTCCTCTCCCTCCTATTGGTATTAATGTTTATATGTCTAGAGACTGTATTAGCCACTTATCTGCACTATTTCACCCAAAAGCCTGTGTTTATTTGATTTTCCATAATAGCCCACATTACTCCCTTCCCCCTCCCCTGTAAGCCTTTCCAAAGATACTACATCCTGAGACAGACACCTCCACTCACATATGAACTACAGTCCTTGGATTTGGCTGCCCGACTACATTTGCTCAGTTTACTTGGACTTAAGAAAAGTCCACAGAGGACTTTGACCAACACATTTTTTTTTTTTTTTTTTTTCCTCCAGCACATATGGAAGAGAAAGTACCCCAACCCTTTCCACTGGAGCAGGTACCACTTTGGCTGCCCAATGCCTCCCACCTGCCAGAGGTTCCCTTTCTCACAGATCTGCAGTCATTATGTGTTTAATTACTGCTGTCAGCTGGTTCTGTCAGATTGACAGGGATTCATTTTCCTTTTAACAGCAAACTTTCCTAACCCTGATCTTTCGACAAGAAGCAGGTAAGGGAGGAATGAAACATGCCATTACGTTGGCACATCTGAGGAGGCAGAAATCTCTGGTAGGAGTATCAGGGGCAGCTAAAAGCAACTGGGCTACCTCAGCCATGGCCAGGGCAAGGCAGCCAGCTGCAGTCTGAGCAACTTGCATTTCTAGAGCACGGGGCTGGAAAGGGGCATACCACTGAGAAATATGCCACTGAGGTTTTCTCTTTCCTTTGGATGTAAAACTTCTTTCCCAAACTGATTATATTTTTTACTAGTAGCCCTTCTCATGTGTCCGCTCTCCTGAAACAGTTCAAGTTTCTTACACTCTTGCGTGAACTGCAGTTCTCTGAGAGGGTATAGGGGGAGTGTCTGGTTTTTAAAGATAATTCAGAATTTTTGAGTAAGATTTTTTTTCGACTGGAACTGAAACCATAATCTCGATTCCAAATCTAGTCAACCGAGACGTGTCTTTGAAATGAGAGAAATCAGGAATGTTTCAGCAAAAATAGATTTCCATCAAATTTGAAATATTTTTGCCAAAAATAATTGTGAACGGCAGCTCTGACAATAATCTTCTGTCAGCAGTACAGTACTGTTTTGTCTTGTCTTCAAAAGTCTTTCATTCAGGTATTTATTGCATATGTACTGAAAAAAAAAAAAAAGTACTAACTCTACAGTCAAAACACAGCATGCATTCACATACTTATATGAGAGGGGGAATTAAAAAAAAAAAAAAAAAAAAAAAAAAAAAAGCTTAGGTCACCACCTTTGCATATCAGAACCAGAACCAGATGTTATAATTTCAAAAGCCTGAACCAAAGTTGTCCGGTCATCCTTGTTTCAATACAGTCAAGCAACTGCCAGAGTTCTTTGACAATTATTGTGACGCTATGCAGATATGGCCATATCCCTCTGTTCTTTTTCCTGGTTCGTAAGGATTCCCTGAAATGTCAACAAGCTCTTCCACGGGGGCCGGGGGCAGCGCTTACCACTCCTCTTCACCAAGCTGCTCTCGCCGGGGGCAGCTTTGGGGCGGCCAAAAGCCGGGGGCTCCCCGCCGGCCCCCGGAGCGCGGGGCTGCGCGGGAGCGGGGCGTTCCGCGGGAGCGGGGCGGTGGGGTTCCGCGGGAGCGGGGCGTTCCGCGGGAGCGGGGCGGGGGGTTCCGCGGGAGCGGGGCGTTCCGCGGGAGCGGGGCGGTGGGGTTCCGCGGGAGCGGGGCGGTGGGGTTCCGCGGGAGCGGGGCGTTCCGCGGGAGCGGGGCGGTGGGGTTCCGCGGGAGCGGGGCGGGGGGGCTGGCAGCGGCGCGGGGAGTGCCGCACCCAGGGTGCTACAGTCTTCTGAACTTTTCTGCTCTGTGTGCTAACAGCCATGAAAGATTTCTTTTTTTTTTCTCCCTCCCCCCCCCTCCCCCTTTTGTGTTTTAATGAAAAAAAAACCCAAAGATTTCTACTTTCCGACTGATGCTTGTCTTTAGTGGAGAGGTGTGCGTGTGCCTTCAGTAAGCATTGAGAAGGGTTAGCTGCCTGGGAGAACGGTGAGAGTCAGTATCTCTCCAAGCCTGGCTTGGAGAGAAATCCACTGTGGCATTATTTAAGACAAAGTGCTTAGGGTAGTGATTTTATAAATAAGAAAATAGGAAGGAAGGAAAAAAAAAAAAAAAAAAAAGAAAGTGTGATATGACAGCTATGTTTTAAGTCAGCAATTCAACTTTTTGAAAGGATTATAGTTTTCCAATCTTTCCTACTCACTGGAATGAGATGGAATGACCTTTTCTGCTGGTCATTCATTGCCCCACATTTACTGAAGAAGATGCAAATATCATTAATTTGCAGCAGAAATTGGGTCAAAAATGAAACATAGAGGTGTCTTTTAAAGGCTACTGTGCAGCATGACCACCAAGCATTAAAATCAGGGTTAAAAATCAGATGGGGCTATTGTGTTTAAATAATCTTCGTCCTGACACCTTACATTATTTTCTTGCATTTTTATATCAGACTCATGAATTCAAGTCATACCATGTGGAGAAAAATATCTTCCTTTAATAGTTTAACTCGGGTTCACTAAACATCTACTTTGTAATATCAGCTAAAGAGTAGTTAGGCATTTATGGAAGACTTCTATGGAAGCAATTCTTTTATTGAATATTTACTGGTTTTACATAGAAATCTCCAAGCAGAACTTCTGCTATGATGTCGTTTAAATTCTATGACTCAATGAAAATGTCATACACTGAGCAACATTTTCAGTATTTTATACATTTCTGTTATTAGTTTCCTCCCCCCCTCAAAAAAAAAAAAAAATCTCTATCAAAGGGCTAGATGTCAACACCACAGCATTTTGTTAATTCAAGGTTATTATTTTAGATAGTGTCATGGTTTGAGCAGGACAGGTAAGATAGCAAGTCTCATTAACAATGTGAAAATTTTAATGGTTGATTGGAAAGTTACAGTTGTTCTCTTTGGTGAGTATTTGTGAAAAGAGTAAAGCCAGATTATCTACAGTTATCTCTGATACCACGTAGTAGGCAGTAGACTTCATGGGAAGCCAAGGAAAGGCAAAGACAGTCTGTTGTGAGTAAAGGAGGAACATTCTGAAGGTTTCCTACCTCTCCTAGTGGTAGGCAGTGCATCACACACAAAGACCAAAGAAGATTTTACTTGACAAGGAAATGTGGTATCACTTAGCTATGAGCTGGTCTTGAATTTTTGTCCATCAGATTGTTTATGTAGGGGCAAAGATACAATGGTGCTGTGTGTATAGTGAAACAGGAGAATATAGAAGCTGAAGCAGCAATTCTCCCAGTTCTGTGACAACATCCCAGTGGATGAAAATAGCAGGACAGATCCTAAGCAGGCCAGAGATTAGTGTTTCTGTGTTCTCATCTAATTTGGTGTCCAGTTCATTGCTCATTCTGAAACTTAGTACCGTGTCCAAGTAACTGGAAGTGTTCTGTATCCGCTCTTATAAAAAGCCATGTAAATTATTTAAATATATGTGCTGCTTCAAGGTCTTCAGCCTCAGTGGGTGTAAATGGATAACCTAAGCAGTTCCAGTACCGGCCTTGTCATCATGGTGCAGAAGGGCTTGTTGCATGATGGTGGAACATGCTTTACAGAACTGAGGCAGATATTCCGTGGTCCCAATTTCTTCTTCAATTCTTGGGCCAAGTAGGTAGATCTCTGTTTAATTACTTTTCTTATCTCCTCTTCATTTGAACACAGCTACCCTCAGCCAATTGTTAACACACTCCAAACCTGTTTATGAACAATCTCTGTTTTATTTATTTTATTTTATTTTATTTTATTTTATTTTATTTTATTTTATTTTATTTTATTTTATTTTATTTTATTTTATTTATTTATTTCCTCCTAGAAATAAGAAACAAAATTGTATCACCTGCAAGAAAGACATGGTTGATACACAGGTAAACTGGTATTTCTCTCACATGTGTCAGCAAGTTAAATTAAACCACTCCACAGCTGCTCTTCCTTTTGACTACTTAAACAGTAACCCCTTGCCATGTAATGGATGGCACTCTGCTCACAGCAAACAAACTGCAAATTTTCCAAAGGAAACATGGTCAGGACACTCTTGTTAATAAAGCAGCATCCCAGCATCACCAGAGTCCTAGCACACCCATTCAAACTGATTTATAATACAAGATAAGAGTTTTGATTAGTTGGAAGATGAACAGGTTAGACAGTGCTCAGAGCATACTTATTTTTAACAATTTGTAATCATATTTTTTAAGGAGCTTTAACAGTGAAATCTTCAAAAAATGCCAGAGGAAGCATAAGAAGGGAAGCAATTAAGATGTTTCAGTGTTTCAGAAGTAGATAATGAAAAAGGTTAATCAAAATTAGGATGAATAGCATATTTCAGCACAGATCACAGTCATTTCCTTGGACAACCACCTTAGACAAATAATCAGATAACTTTTTCCCACATTTATTGCCACATCAGCAGAAGTGGAAAGATAATTCTTAGCTTTTGTAGAGTCAGAGTTTAGCGATCCCCTCTTGAAATGAGTGTAGTAAATGTTGTCAGTGTTCTCACTTGCTCCCTTGGGCAGGTTTCTAAATGGATTCAGAAGCCTGGAGGATTTCTGGATGCCCCATGTTCTTATATAACTGCTTCAAACCAGTTTGCATCAATTTCAGATTTCTGCTCTGTCAGCTCAGAGCTCTTTTCCTTTCCCAAATCTCTCTTACTTCTTTCTTATTAATTTTTTCTCTTGTAAGTTTTCTTTTCTTTTGTTCTGTGTAAAATGATTACTTTTCACAACAACAAAAAAGGATGAAAGTGTATCAGTCATTGCAGAATGCATGTACTGATTGGGATTCAAAACGCACTTCAGCACTGCAGAGGTAATTTTAGAAAAGGTCTCCTTTCATGGACAGTTATTCTCCAAGCTTTGACCATATGCTTCAAAACCAGAATAGCCATGTTCCATTTCCAGCTTCCCAAAACGTTCGGAATCTCATTTGCTACCTGCTCATACACAGCATACTGCACTTCCTGAAATACACTTACTTCACACAAGTTACTTAATGACTGACAGTAATTCCTAGCTGTGAAAAATTGCTAGAGGTCACTCTAAAATCAGTAAGCATATTTTCCAATAAACATCAAATTATTAGTTCTTGTGAGTCCTTTACAGGTGAACAAAGAAAACAAACCTAAGAGCTCAACTGCAATTGGTACCTAGTTTTAAATAGATTCTTGCAAGATACTTGTCTGAGGTACTGAATGTCAAGAAGTCTTCCCTTATTCCAAACATCCCAAATATATTTTGATCTAATTGTAGGCTTTCCTCTTCCAATCTACAGTCGCTATTTTCTTCTCTATGTTCTGATGGGAATACTTTCAAATGTAATCATATATTGGTTTCAAGAGAGTCAATTCAGTTTGTAAATAGCTATATCTAGAGAGATGCAATATACTGGAGAGGCCATAATCTGCCACACGTGATAGAAATTATCTAAAACAAGCTTCTTACACCATATTCACATGTGGTGTAAATCTAATGAGTTCTCTGGTAGGGTTACCTCTGTCTTTTCCTGGACATATCCTTTTTTGTGCCAGAAACTGTCCATATTCTTCAGTTGAGTTGTAGGAATCGCCAGTTTCTTCTATTGTCTTAATCTCAAGTGTGTTCAAGCACAGATGTCTCGTTTTCAAGAACACTGAGGTACTGTTGCATGTGCAAAATAGAGATGTTCAGTCAACTGCATTAGAAGCTGGCTGGAATTTAATCTTCCACTTCTTTTAAGAGATGGATAATCAGGAATGTCCAATAAGTAATAAAGATTGTAATTAAAATGATAAGTAATTGGCTCAGAGTTAAAAGAAAGTGAAGTTTACAGTTCTGTGTGAAGAAGAATCAAAGAATTCCCTAATGTAAATTATAAATATACGCAAAGCTGTATGTGCTATTTGATTAAGCAGGATAGTATAAATAGTCATGTAGGTATTTATTTTTTTTTAATAAGGAATCAAAACCAAATAACTACTTAAGAACTTGCAGTCTATGACTATGCAAAAAAGTGCCTAAAAGCTGTAAAAACTCCAGAGTTCATGGTTGCCCTGTACAAACACAGGTTGTATCCATTGCTCTCTGGTTTTCCCACTCTTTATTAGGACCCTTATGACTATCCAGCATTATAATTGAAACTATAGTGTATTTGTAAGATGTAGATTGAATACCAGTACAGAGAATGTTTTCTGCCTCTGGATCTATCGTTACTTTACTGAGGTGTAAGAAAAACTTCATAAGTGTCGGCATTTTGCAGATGAACTAACTGAGCAACAGAACACATAATAAGCATGCCTAAGGTCGGCCACTGAATAAGTGGCAGAAGCAAGAATTAAATCCACATCTTCTAGTTTTTCTAGAATATGGGCAGTGGAGAAAAGGGCAAGTCAAAGGATCAAAAAGCAGTGAGACAAAAGATGCCTTTCCCTAACTAAACAAGATAAGCTTCTGACTCAAAACATTGCAAGTTACTGCTAAAATCAGTACCAAACTGCAGAACCTTGCAATGGCAAGATGTGAGCATGCCTTCAGACAAAACCTGAGCATGTCAAAGGCACCAGAGAAAGTGAAAACTGTTGTAAATGATACCAAGACTAATTCAAGCAGTAGTCAAATTCCACAGCTCACTTCTTCCATGTAGGAGTCAGCCTGTAACTGGATGGAATTGAATGAAAAAGTGAAAGGTTTTTTGGTATTTGATTAAGCTGTTGCCAAAAATATAGATAAGAGATTCTACTCTTATTGATTGGCTTTGCTTCTAGTAAAATTGTGTTGTGTTACTAAAAACAAATCAGGGTTAATATGCACTCACTCCTTTAATAGGCCCTGGCAGTTATGAGGTGGAATTAATTCACAGGATAAATTCCATCTGTTTTAAGGGTCTGAACTGCTTAGTAACAGGTAAGATATTTGATAAGAAACACATCAATACACAAGAAGTTAAATTAGACAACTTGTATAAACACTTCAGTAGTGTAACTGTTTAATATATACAAGAGAAATCTTAAAGACACTCATTAAGAGTCACAATTATTCTGTGCAAATCTTCAGTCAGTTTCATTAGCCACTTTGATCCAGACCTCAGGAAGAAGCCCTACTCCGTGTCCTAAATATCTGTTCTTTGGTGCTTAAGCAACTAAAGACCCAACTTCTTATTTTCTCAGCTTTTGGGGTGTTGTTTTTTTGTTTGGTTGGTTGGTTGTTTATTTTTATAAAATTCGCTGCCATGGTGAACTTATGTGCAGCTGGTTTCTGTGACCTTGAGTGATGAAAAATTACTGGTTTGAATTTCCCCTGTAATTCTAGTTCTTCATGTAGTGAGTTTTGTTGATTTTACTGCAGATGGTGGCTTGCCATGTTATAGAGGAACAACAGGATGGGTTGTAAGTATCAGTATTCAGCATGTTACCCTGATTTACAGAGCCATCATAGGTCTTGTACCCTTGCAGGGGGTACTGGGACCACCCCAGCCAAGACAAAAAGTGGGCAGCGGGCTTTCTGACAGTTGAAAAAACACTGTGATACTAAAATGGTGTACCTTGGACGATTACAAATTTGCTTAAATTACAAAGAAGTTATTACATCACGATTTAATTTTAAAACCAACATCATCCTCTTCTCTTATGTACAAACCTGAATGTACAAAAGCTTTCAGTGAAAGGTTTTTGTGAAAGTCAGATAAACATTAAACAGTAATGTACACTTAGATATCAGACTTAACTAATGTTACCCAAATTATTATCTACGAGTAATTTGTTTTCTCTTGATACTATAGAACTAAGTCCTAAAGTTGCTGAAGAAGGAGTGAATTTCAGCCTTTCTGGCACAACAGTACACCAGGCTTGTTTAACAGATCCTGGAGTGGATGGCACCATTTCCAGGTGATTGGTGCTGCAGAGACAATTCCCTCTCTGATTGGGATTATCTGTTCAACAGGCTAAATTGGAAACATCCCCATTGAGTTCACAATAATAAGGTCTGAATTTTTAGTAAGATTTATTGCTGAAAAATAAATTTTATGACTGCATTAAGTGAATTGCCCAGCAAAGACAAAGAAAGCAAGATTTTCATGTTCCATTTAGTCATTGACATTTACTTCTCATTAAAAAATAATTCAATCATGACTATAGAGAGCAGTAATGTATACCTGCTTAGCCTTTTCTGTTATGAGAAAGCACTCAAGTGCATGATTGACTTCAAACATATTCAAGGAAACCAAAATACATGCCTTCTTCTCTGGATTCTGTTATAATTGGCAGCAATCTTCCCACTAGTACACATAAAAGCTGGAGTAGACTTTAAACTTTAGTTATGGTACTAGCCAGGAATTATAATGTTTTACACCATCCTTTTGAGATCAGTTGAAATACAGTCTTTTTCTCCTTTGAAAACTCCATTTCTATCTCAGATTATTTTTATAACAGAGCTCTATCAAACTTTTACCCATTTGCATCAGCTTCCTAGAACTCATTGCTGTTTTCCAGCATCATCTTACTTCTGGAAACAGGGCCTTAGTGCCAGTCAAGGATTCTCACATGGCAGGAATTAATACCTCAAGGTCTTTTTGTTTTATACCGAGAAGGTAAAATTGCTGAAACTGCTAAAACTTCTTGGGTCATAAAATCTCACCTAAACATCCTTTATGCAAGAAAATGCCTTCTAGTCTCTTTTAACAAGAGATTTGTTTTTCTATATAATAAAGAATTTGCTCTCAACTGGCTGATGCTACCACAAACGTTAAATCCATAAGCATGTATCTTGAAAAAGTGGCTTTTATCTGCAGTGCAAATTTAACATAAAGAAATATGACAGCATAAGGCTAATATACGTCACACTCTACAAGGATTAATAGATGGACTCCACCGCTACATACTGTGCTTTTAAAGGAAAGATTTCCAAAGGCCAACCTAAGGCTAAGTGTCTGTCAGCCCCTGAGTTAAACTTCCCTTGAAACTACCAGGAATCCAATGCCTGGTACATTCAAGAACATTGTAGCTCATAGCCTGAACGCAGAAGGGAAAAATATGGAAACAGTATGTCTGAAGGGAATATAATGGCAATATGACCTTTTAAGCATATTTATGAATAGAAAGGAAAAAAGAAATCATTGAGTTTCTAAAAATTAGTTATAGTCTCTAAAATAATAGAATGGAAGGAAACTGAGAAGGAACAAAGATTTTTTTTTTTCCCCCTGGTGAAAAGCCTTTGTCTAATGTAAATAAAAATATGAGAGACAAAGGGAATAGACACAGACAATGACTTGGGGGAAAAAAAAAGAACATAATCTAAGCCATATTTGCTTGAGAAAATTATAAGCATTCAAATTTATGGGCATGAACATTTACACACTGGAAAAGAATTTGGAAAGAATGTGTTAAAAATTTAATGTGGTAGTTACCAACACTAAAAAAGACAGCCACAAACCTCAGATTCTGTAAATGAATGTACATCTGAAAAGTAGTTACGTTTTGAAAAATAACCATGTCAAATTCTCACCTTCCACTGAACAGATCTAATTCTACTCAATGTCTCTGCTTCAGAGTTGTGTCTTCTCTTTATTGAACATATTCTATCATGCATACATTTTAAATTTGTTAGAATTACAGAGTCAATTCTTTTAAGATAGAAAGAAGAGAGATTATCTCTCTAATTGAGTAGAAAGTTATTTACTTTCCAGAAGCAAATGCTTTACTGATGGTAAAACATAATAAAGAACTGAAAAGAGAAAAGGGAATCAAATACTATTTCAATTACCTATAACTACATCTTTTCAGATTAACTTGATTTTTAATAAGGTAAATAATAACAAGTGATAAAATAGCATTTCCTAAAATAGAGATTGCAAGTAAATATCACAACACTTACTACTTGCATTCTGAGTCTTCAGCTGGAGAAGGTATATTTGCAACTGAATGTAGAGTCACCAGCAGAAAATTTTTGAAACCGCTACATACAGCTAGTCTATACAGATCAGATATTTTATGTTATCAGATTTTATATGTTATGATGTTGGAAGTTATTAAGTCAGTTAAAGAACAATCTAATGACTTCAAGAATTATGAGAAAAAAAATTAGCTAAATTGTGGATGGCACTAGGCAATGTTGATAAGAAACAAGCTTCCTGAAAAGATTTTCAGGAGAAAATAGGTTAATGTGGATCTTTCAGGGGCTGACCGTGAGGCCAGCCAGATTTCATATTCTTTCTCAGAGACCTGGGACAAAGTGTAGGAGTGTGTCAGTAGTATTCCTAATGACATATGCTGGGGAGATGTGGCTGATGTGAAGGAGTGTGACTATAGTACACAAAGAAACAGATAAAGAATAGGGAAGGCACTAGAGCAGTAGAAATGCGGTAACGCTTAATAACACAAAATCACAGAATTTTTTTCTTATTAGTAATTTTTTATAAGTAGGAAGCACTGCTGTCAGTTAGAAAACAACGGAGGAAAAACTCTTGGGATTGCTGTGGGCTGTCAATAGGCCAAAGCTGCATGAGAAGCACATACAGCTGTAATACATGTAAGGCTCTGCCTTTCTGAGGAAAAGAGGGAAATGTTAATACCATTCTCCAGGCTCACAACAAGGTCTGAAATACAACTCTCACCAGCTGTTTCCAGGAAAGATAAGATATTCAGACTGGAATAAGAACAGAAAAGAACAATTATTAGAACCAGAAGAATGGAGAACTATGAAAATTCACCTAAGTTTATTTTTAAAAGAAAAGGCTCAGAGATGTATGCTTGCTCTCTATAAATCAGGATCAAATACAGCAGAAAGAGTAAAGGACTGTTTAAACTAAAGGCCAAAACTGATACCAGAACAATTGAGTAGACCACAGTCAGGAGGAATTAAAGGCTGATAACTTGAAGGTGATTTTTACCTTCCAGAACAGTGATGTCCAGTGATAGCCTCCAGTAGGAGTAATGGAAGTGAAATCATTACTTCTGAAATGAAATTACTCTATTATGAGGAGGTCTTTTCTGACTGTGTTGCCTGTGACAGTCAATGGCTCAGTTCTGTGGCAAGGGTTATTTTTTCTAATCTTAGGTTCCTGGTTTTCCTAAATCTAAAAAAAAAAATAAAGCAAAGCAACAAACAAACAAACAACAACAACAACAACAAAAAAAAAAAAAAAAAAAAAACCATAACATGTTAAACAAAGTACCCACTACCCAACATATCTCAGCTGTTTTGTTCTTTGTTCCTCACTGAGATAGGAAGCAGAGCACTGAAGTGTCTTTGCATGCTGCCAGTTTACTCTGATTTCTATGATTCTGTTTTATATCTATTTCAGAAATAAAAAACAAGCTAATGTTAGAAATGTGGGACTTCCTATGATGACATTTGGCACAGCAACTGACACATGTATCTAAGTGATGTTATCTGGCTTGACTGTGAGATTCAGTTAAACAGTAATATATTTTTGAACCAGAATATCTTGGACAAACTTCTGTAGCTATGGCTAATATAATGCTAAACATTAGATAATGTTGTTAACCAACAACAAATTAGATAGTTGAATTACTTGGAAGTGTTCATCACTAGATATGGTTAAATGAGAGAAGGCATAGAAGCAGAGATGTAGAGCAGAAATGGTGGCCATTTCTTTGTGCAGTTTTTCATAACAGGTACTGAGCAAGATTCAGTCTCACAAGATTTGATAGGCCTTATCCAATTGCACAGATGTGAGAAAATTTTTTTCAGCCTAACTTTGATTGCACAAACCAGTCATCTGGGTCTCTCCATGGAGAAGCACTACTAAGAGTAATACATATATCTTTGTCATATACCTAACATAGGAAAAATTGCCCCTGGAGTTCTGTTTATTTTCAGTGATTATAGGGAGCCAAGATCACTTGGATCCATTAAAGGACTAAATTTCAAACCGAGAAAATTAGCTTAGAAGAAATCCCACCCTCAATTAAAAGGAGAAAAGATAGTACAAGTCTTCCCTGATAAATATAGGGAAGTTCTTTCAGCCACTAGTGGAAAATAACACGTACAGAAATGATTCAAGAGGGAGTACAGTGCATGCTTACCAACACAAAAGGGCTACAAGATAGTATAAAGTAGGTATAGGACTGCTGCTGTTGGACCTGCTCTTCTCAAAGTCTGAGAATCTAGGTAAACTCCAAGTGAGAGCAGAAAGGAAGTGGACTACGGTTAACATCAGAGCTGGAAATTTAAAATAGTTTCCTCCAAGCCAAGCCAGTTTTCTGGGAACTGTTAGATTTTGTAGGGGAGGACAGGCCTAGGTGGGAGGAAGACTTTAAAGCTGGTGCGACTCGTCATTGTAGACATAGCCCACAACAGATGCCACTTTCACCTTTCCTATTTGAAGAATGAGTATGTGCTTGTGTTTTTAAATGCCTGATACCTATAAATCATCTTGTCTTTGACCTGAAAGATCACTTGCAAATTAACACTTAAGCTTCTAGTTAATAAAGACTCTCTGTCCAGGAGCGTATAAATAAATTCTGACGACAGCACATAATTCAGTCAGAGGGGATAAACAATGACTGATGACAACACATAATGTACTTGTCATGTTCCTTGAAGTTGTTACTGGAGTGACATCCAGTATATGGATTATCACACTGTCGGGTCTGCTACTTTTTTTTAATGGATTGGGATCATTCAAATCAATTTTTTTAAGAGTTTAATCTGTAGGAGTAGAATTGAAGAGAAGGTAGGACTAACCACAAATTTGACATATTCACAGATTTTGCAGAACAGCAATTGTGCTTTAGTACATTTTTCATAGGATGTTTCTGAGATGGAAATTAACCTGGCATGGGTGGAAGGATTAATTGAACAGCTAATATCTCTGTCTTGAGAAACTGCTGAGAAGCTTTAAAATCTATGGCAACGAGGTGGAAGACACTGAAAGGATGGAAAGAAAGAAGTTTGAAATTTTTTTCTGGCTTTTTTTTTTTTTTTAATAAACTTATCATTTTAGCAGAAGGCAAGCACCCCTGTCTTAATAAAATATAAGGAAGTTATAAACTGTAGAATATGGTCAAAATTAATTGAGATTATAAAGTTTACTGCATAAATTACTATTTAAATATTGTGGTTCTGAGCCACCACAGGAAATGATACAAAAATCTGTATGAAAATACATGTGCCTCTGGACACTGATATAAAAAGGCATTGTCTTCTGAACCTCAGTGTAAAGAATGGGACAGTGGATATTACAACACTTCCCTTAACATCAACCACAGGACAGCTGTTCAATGTGTATTCTTTGTTGATTAAATTTAACATTGTGCTGGTTTTGGCTGCGGTAAAGTTAATTTACTTCATAATTGCTAATATGGGGCTGTGTTTTAGATTTGTGCTGGAAACAGTGTTGATAATTCAGGGATGTTTTTGTTACTGCTGAGCAGTGCTTACGCAGAGCCAAGGCCTTTTCTGCTTCTCACACCGCCCCGCCAGCGAGTGAGCTGGGGGGGCACAAGAGGTTGGGAGGGGGCACAGCCGGGACAGCTGATCCCAACTGACCAAAGGAACATCCCAGACCATATGATGTTGTGCTCAGCAATAAACTAGGGGAAAGTTTGGCTGGGGGTGGGACTGCTGCTTGGGGTTGGATGGGCATTGGTCAGTTGGTAATGAGCAATTTTTTTCATTTACATCACTTGTCTTTCGTGGGTTTTATTTCTCTCTGTTATTTTCCTTTTTATTACAAATTATTATTATTGTTGTTATTATTATATTTTATTTCAATTATTAAACTGTTCTTGTCTCAACACACAAATCTTCACACTTTTACCCTTCCAATTCTCTTCCCCCATCCTGCTGTGGCCGGGAGTGAGTGAGCGGCTGTGTGGTGCTTAGTTGCTGGCTGGGGTTAAACAACAACAAGCATAAAGTGTGCAAGTTTATAATCTGATAGTCTCATTCTGAGTCCAAAAGTAATTTCCAATTTAGTATGATTTATCCTGTTGATGTGAACAAAATAAAGCAGAAAAAAAAAAAATCTTAACTTTTTCGTAAAATGACATGTACAGGCAGTTTTCAGATGCTTTGAAACCTGTGTATTTGAGCATAATGGTACCCTTTGATGCCTTGCAGGAAACACAGTTTGGGACTTCTATTTTCCTGAAGATTTTGCATCCCTCAGTGTTCACAAAGCTAAAGGCACTGGAGGAAAAAGATCATATATGCGTCATTCTCTCCACAAGATCCAGTCAATAGTGCCAGCAGATATGCTTTATAGATGTCTGGCTTTGGTTTCAGCATCATAACCAGATGACAGTGAATCATACTTCATAATTTATTAAAAACGTTTGAAAAAAAATACATTTGTCTGGCTCATTCCCTCTAGCTTAAATTTGTTTCTTTGGAAACACAGTTATTTCATATCTTGTAGCATGCAGAAAAGGCACATGAAAAATATGAAATTAGGAACTCTTTTCATACAGGTCCTTTTAGGAAATGATGGTCATAGAGTTGGATTTCTGAATGTGGCTTGGGGGTGTCCAGGTGGAGCTGTCACAGCTGCAGGTTCTTCTGTATCTTCCAGTAAGAATGACAAACTGGTACTTTGCAGTAGACTGGGAAAAAAAAAATATTAGAGATACTGAGAGGGACCCTAGACAAATAGTTTAGAAGAGACATCTAATTTGTAAGTGAATTTAGGTAAGGTGATTTCTATATGGACACTGTGGATAAGGACCTTTTACACAAAGTCCTGTTATTAAAAAATATTTTATAAATATCAGTGCTTTTCAAAGATGCTTTATGCTTCTTTCCTTGGTTTGTACAGAATAAGGCAATTTAAAATCAGGAGTTCTTTCAACCGCATGTATAACATTCCTCCAAGCCTAAATCAGGGGGTGTACTAAGGTAACGATTACATTTTGATAAAGGAATCAAGAAAAACATATCTATCACACAAAAGCTATGTAATATAGACATTATGAAACTGGAAAAAACAAACTGTCAGTACTTAGATGAAGACTCTGCATACAGTTTTAACTCAGTTGCATAACAGGTTTGATTCACATCACTGGCATGCCCTTTCTCATTCACCAATGGGCACATGAAGGCAACTGGGTTTTGGCAGCCGTCTTTGCACCATCATTACATCCCTGGACACATGCAACCAGTTTACATGCAATGTTTTTGTAACTGCAATGAGTTTTGACAGGTATGTATCTTCACTTTTTAATTCTATACCCCAGGACAATAATTTCTGATTGTGTTTATGCAAAGCTGTAATTCAAGAATGAGAAATTCCATCAGTCATGGGTTAATCATTTTTTTAAAACTGCAGGTATCCTTTTCTGATGTTTATGGAGGTGGCAGAAGTATTTTAAGTCTCGCTATAGCATCATGCTATGCACAAAGCCTTAAGGGATTCTAGTCACCTCCAGTGTTACTGTTCTGGGGCTTATCTTTAGAGGTGCAGCTTCTAGTAAAGGCTTAATGTCACTAAAACTAGATTTGTTTTAACAATTCATGTTTCAGATAAAAAATTTTCTTCCAGGCAGACTGCAGAAACCTACTGTATCTGTTATTTTTTAAACCCTTTGTTAAAATGCAGTAAGAGTACAACAAGAATTTTAACTTTTATGGTAACTACAGATTTCAAAAACAGCTTCTGTATAGTCTTGATCTTAAGGAAAAAGTGACCAAATTGAGAAAAGAAAAGTCTAATTTGGACCAAAGAAGTCTTCTTTCATATGTCAGAGAGAGCATGAAGGAAAACAAAAAGACAAACTTTACTGCATAGCACGAGGCACTGGTCAATCATTAAGAAGACTAGGATAAATAAACAAAGTCAATGGGAAGGACAGTTGCTATTGAACTTGTAGCATACAAATCAGCATGCTCCCATGGAAGTGGAATGTAGTCACTAAAGGGAGGGAGAGAAAAATTATCAGAAAACAGCAGAAAGTAGAAAATTGAAAGTTATAAATAATTTTGAAATGGATAAATTTGAATGGAGCTGTAGTCACTAAAGGGAGAGAGAGAGAAATATTATCAGGAAGCAGAGAGTAGAAAACTGAAAGTTATAAAGAGTTTTGAAATGGATAATGTATGGCTATCAAAAGTGGTTACACTAATCCATGATATTAGAAGTCTTATTTAGTTGACATGCAGTTTAAAAAGAAATTATTAATTCATTTGAAATACAATTTTGAAAGCTCTGTTCTTATATTTGCATGAGTAACATGAAAAATTACAGTCTTTACTATATTCCTAAAGAATTTACACATAGGAGTATCTTTCATCTTGTTTTTTAGAGAAAAAAATTTATGCAAAAGACAGTAAATATTAAGGCAGGAAAAAGACATGACATCCTAATGAGGAAAGACAGAATATCAAAACCTGGTATAGAAAGTAGTTTGTATCCCAAGTAAAGCTATGTCTTAAAATAGACATTTGATTTTTTCAAAATTACTGCGGCTAAGCCTGTGCTTTCTTTTCTATTTCAAGGCAAGATTTTCCACCTCAAATACACTTGCCTAGGGAAAGATCTTCAAATTACTTCTCTCATTTGTTTTATTGCTGCTAATACAAATTATGACACTACAGCCAAGAGAGACAAAGGTTTTTCAGATAAAAAGCTCCCAAACTGTTTAGTGCTTGATAGTTTCAGTAAAGCATCTCTGAATCCACTTGGGAGCTTTCATTAAGTGAAAAGATTAAACCTGCTATTTTGCAAAAAATCAGCAGAGTTTATCAGACTTTGTTTGACTGTAAAAATATTCCCCATTCACAATAAAAGAAAGAAACATCGTTATGAATTAGTAAATACTATGGCTAATGCTGCATCAGACAGCTTCACATTCTCTCTCACATTTCTCAAAAATAGAAGCACTTCTAGAGGAAGACAGGAGCAGGTCAGACCTGGAAAGGCACTTCCAGAAGAAACCTCAGCTGAACAAAATTACTATCACACACAAATTAATATCTGCAATAACTGGATAACACTTATTCCTAGAAATCCTCTGCTTCATAATAGGAGTGAACTATGTCCTGCAATAGTCCAACAGATGCTTTAATTCTTCAGAATTTCTTTTTGCAAATCAGATTTATTTATAAGATCTTAAGAAGAGGCAAAACCAGCTGTTCTCTTCAGGGAGCTTTAGGGGTCAATTATGAGGGGTACAATGTATAAAAGCTTGCTTTTCATTACTCATTTTAATATGAAATGAAAAACATTAAGAAAAGCTGTGAAAACTATGCAAGTTGAGTATGCATATTAAAATTTATGAGAAAGTTTCTTAAACTGACATCAAACACATTTTTTTTAGTACAGATTCATGTTTATGCCACAGGCAGACGTTGTCCAAATTAAACCAGGATGAAACTTTGGTAGCAGAACTTTTGCATATTGGTTAAAAAAAGTTTCATAAGAAGCAACTCACAGCACCTGTTCTCTGGATGAGGATGCACATAGGCACACATAGACAACGATCCTAATATAATTTACCCCCATGTACATGAAGAGTAAATCTGACTGTTCAACAAAAATATCACTATGCAAGACTGGTCTAAGTGAAATCAGAACTGCGCACACTTCTCAAGCCTGAATATTGATATACTGTTATGTTGCAGTCTCTGGTGAGACAAGAGAGGTGGTGAGATGGGTGAAAAGGGGGTCCAGTATGATGTCCTACACTAACATTTTTACTTGGAACATTCCAGTGAGCCACTTGTTATAAATTGAATATGAACTTTGCAAAGAGCAATGTTCGTGACTTCTTTAAAAAGACAAAGGAACGCTTTGGCCAATGACATTTTTAAAAAAGAGCCAAGATTTACAGGTTCAAAATAACTGATGCAGATTCAGAAGTCACATCATTCCTTATTCCTTCATGGCACGCAAGATGCAGCTTGTAAAGCCTATGCCAGACTTTCTTTCTAAGACAGGAGGCTGTGAGGCACATCTCATTCCCTGTAGCATGAACCCACTGGAGCACGTCACAGGAAGATGCCACTGTTTGGGTCCCTTCTTACACAATGCACCTGCTTCTTATAACTTTGTTTATAAAAAAAATGTGTAATCTTCTTGATAGGGGTTCAGTTGCCTGTGATCTGAGGTATACTTTTGGTATGGCACAGATATATAATCTTGTCTCAGCCTCCTTAGAAAGCTGATAAATGCTAAGCTGTGCTAACTTACCTAGAGTGGAACCATGTGTGATAAGAAAGGTAAGATAGATTGAAGCCATAGATAAGATTGTTAAAGTGGTGACAGTTAGCAGCTCAAAGGTTCAGGAAGAAAAACTCTGGCACGAAGAGTGCCAGATATAAAATACTGACAAAAATCAGGGAGTCTGAAGGTGCCCCTTCACTCCCATTGACAGCTGTACAGCAAAGACTCAAGGGTGCCATACAGGGGCATACACTTAGCCTAGGAGCTTGCCAGTCCTAGCTGTCTGTTGTCTATTGTAATAGCCAATGAATAATTGCTTGTTGTAAATATCCTCTTTACAAAGTGTCTGTGTGCACAGGAGAAGTTCCCTGAGCAAGTTCCTGAGAGCTACATAGGGTACCAGTCAATTCTGAGGGCTGAATAAACATTTATTTAGCCTATCCCCTTAAGGCTTCAGGGGAATAAGTGCAGAAGTGAAGCTGGGAAGATAAATCTGGAGTAAGTAGCTCTGTGACAGCTGAGAAGAAACAGGCAGGTGTTACAAGTGTTTGCAGCAGCCAAGGCTGACAGGCATGAGAAATGTGTTCCTGGTTTGCCCACTGTTGTAATGTTGCTCTAAGAAATATTTACCAAGGCAATATCACTGGGAGGGTGGGGCCATCGCTCTACGAAAGTCATGGGCTTTCAGTTATTTAAAACCAGAACCACTTGATTTGCCATGGACTAATCCATTTACTCATTCTTCACACTCCTTTTTCTGTCACTTCTTGCTTCACTTCACATGCAGTCATAAACACCCTAGCCAGAGGAAAAGGTTAAGCAAAAAACTCAAATCTCCTGAGCAACCCTTAATTTGCCTTTGAAGTGTAGTACACTTTGCTGCCTCTTGGGGCAATCCTAACAGCAGCGCATTTAAAACCAGTTTAGATAATATATTAATAATAACATTAATCAGATAATTTATATTAATTTGTAACAATAATAATAATAGTGTCAATATACTATTTTGTGGAAACATGCAATACACAGTAATAATATTAGACCATAGGATGACAAATATGATAGGTTAAGATATGACCAGAGGCAGGAAGAAAAAAAGTGAGGAAAAATCCAAGCTCTAAGACACATTTCCCCTCTCCTTGTCCTAAATGCATGACAGAAGTATGACCACATGTTTATGGATTTGCTACAAATCGGACAAGATCACATGCAGTTAGCTACAACATTAACTAGGAACACATGCTCACATGAAATATTTTCTCTTTCAGAGTGTCACCTTGGCTTTCTTGATCATGCCATGTACTTTGGTGATGATTAGTCTATAGATGTTCCTCCAGGCAGCATTGTAGCAGCAAGTTTGGCAGAAAGGCAAAAATAAATGTGGTAATAGACACCACATACCTGGTGCCTTGTAATTTTTGAGAGCTCTGCAGGCTCCATCTCTGCCTCCTTCTCCAGCTCTCTGTGTCAGTGACACAACTCAGACACTGCCCTTATCATTTGTTTCAGGTAAGTATTCTTCAGACTTTTCCCAACAAAAGACTTTTATTACTGATAATTACTTTGTCAGATGAGGGCGCACACCTACCTTTGAGTTCCACTCCCTGTTTGAAGTGGTAATTACCCCTTATTTTCAAAACATGTTTTCCCAAATGCACCACTCGTTTCATTTCACAAATTTATCACCAGACAACAGGCAAGATTGAAAATTACATCCAAACTGAAACAACCAATAGGAACTCACTGCTGCAAAAGAATGGAGACAAAAGCTGCTTGATAAGTGTTTACGGTGAGGCTAATTTCTTATTGTCTGGGGAAAGGTGTCAGAATACCAGCAGGCTGGAATGAGTTTGAGTTCCATCAAGAAAAAGATTCATTTACATTTACACTGAATTGAATTTTTGGTGGTGTTTTCATTCCATCCAGCCTCATGATTTCCTTTTCATCTTTAAGTTCATTAAATGACTTTTTTCCCTTTTCTCAGATAAATATTAAAAATGAGAATTAGAAACCCAGGGAAATTTTCCTTTATAGTTATATAACAGT